TTTGGAATGGGTCTTAAGGGAACGGAGGAGTTCAAGGAGGGGTGTTGGTGGTGAGTTGGTCAGGTCCTCAATGGCGGGGTTGAGCGTGGCCTCCGGTGCCAAATCAGGTTCGGCAGGCGGACTCTCAGGGAACTCGCGGATGGTGGCGATGCCTTGTTGGGCAATGCCAAGGATGAGTTCGAAGTCTTGGAGCAGCTGGCGTGCTGTGTTGGTATCCATGCTCGCAACGGATTTTGGTCAAACAGTCAAACAGCTGCGGCGCGAAAATCAGGTCAAATCTGTCAGGATGCAAAGGCAGAGAAGAAAACCAGTGTGGTTCCGCAAAGGACGGTTTTTCTTCTCTTTGTAAGGTGAAACCGTGTTGGAGGTACAACCTCTTCAATATTGCAAGATCCTGATCTCGCTGAAATTCAGGAAAGGAAACTCGGCTGATCAGCGTGCGTCTGGAATAACATCCAGATTCCTTATGTATCAGTGGTGCGGCTGACTTGACGGAGAGCATGTTGTGCTTCTCATGCGAGGGGATGAAGGAGATGGTGCTGCTTGTGAGGTTCAGTCGGAACCCCAAGAAGTCCAGGGCGGCTTCTGTTTCCAGGAAGATGTCTCCTCCATAGAAGTGTTCGTCGCACAGTATGTTGGCTGCCGGAGTCGAGAGCCACCTGGGGGTTGCGATCACGAGTCTGTTGTCCACGTAGCGGAGCAGGAGAGTATCTTCAACGGAGCGAAGTCCCGATGTGATGTGAGTGTTGGTCCAACATTGTTCGGCGACCGCGATCACCATCAAACAGAGAGCTGGGGACGCGGGGGATCCCATCGGTGCCCCACGTGTTTGCCTGAATGAACGAAGGCCGACAGAGAAGATCTGCATGTCAAGGGTGGCCTGAATGATCTCGGGGATGTCGTCGAGCCACAGGGTGCGTTGTGTGGGTTTGTGTCGGCGACGGCGTCCGTTGTAGACGCGGGTGATGGCAGAGGTGTCAAGTGTGTCCACTGTGAGGTGTGTGGTAGAGGAGTGTGGTTGTCGTTGTCGGTACCAGGTTAGCAGTAGTCGCCAGGCGAGGAAGGGTGCAAGCATCGGTCTGGAGGGGCCAGGTGGAATGAGGCCCCGGAATCGTAAACTGGATCGAATGGCGGAAAGGCATGCCTGGTGGTGTGGTTCAGGCAGGTGTGTGGCTATGCGATGAAGGACATAGAGAGCGGCGGGTGGGAAGTCTCTGCTCCGTATGTAACGGATGGCATCAAATCGTCGTAGAGTGTTGCTGCCAAGATCGCCCAAAAATCGCCACAAATCCAGGCGGTTGTTCATGCGTTTGGCCAGGAAGGCCTGTTGTAGGGCGATGGGTAGTCGTAGTCGGCGGCGTTTTCGCCAGATGGTGGCGAAGCCCATGTGCCGGGATTGGGAGAAGTCCAATTGGCGTATGAAGCCCGTGCGTGGCCGGAAATGTTTCTCGATGAAGCCAAAATTGAGAGACGGTTGCAGTTCCTGGATGTAGAACTGTTCAGTGGCAAATAGGTCCGTTGCTGGAACGACAGTGTGAATGGGCACCGAGGTGTAGTGGTGGAAAATGTCAAAATGTGCCCACCACCGGACTGCCAGTTCGGCATTGACCAGATGATGTCGCTGAACTTGGAGTAGTTTGCGAAGTTGGCTGTGGTCCCGTGCCATGAGGGAGGTGCGAGTGGCTCCGAGGTAGAAAAAGGTCTGCCACTTTGGATGGCTGGTGAATCTCAGATAAACCGCTGAAGGGACAAGCTGAGAAGAGAAATCGGAAGCAGGGTTGTCCAGGCCAAGTCGAGTAAGCAGGGCTTTCAGTCTGCCGGAACCACAGGAGAGATGGCAGACGTCAAGTAGCTGAAGCTGTGCGAGTAGCCAGGAGCAAGAATGACGTGCGGTGACGTCATCGGTTGGGAAGAACCGAAGAGTGAAACGGAGGACAGTGAGAAGTTGGCAGCAGTGGTGTTGCCAAAATTTGTGCTGCCTGGCTGTGCGTCGTTGTCGGTGTGCTGTTGAGAGTCACTGGTAGAAGTGACTCGCAGCGGCCAGGATGCGGCCCAAGGCCGATGACCCCAGTTTTGATAGGGTTCGCACCGGGATGCCCCATAGCACAGCGGCTCGTTCGAGTTGGGCTCTGGTGTCGGAGTCCAGTGTGGTTGCCCATTTTGCGCAGTCGTTGGACCAGCTTTTTAGGACTTGCTTGCTCTCTTTGCTGGTTTTCTGGGAGGTGATCCATCGCTGGACTTTGGTGTCGGAAATGTCGGGTGGGAAGTTGTTGGTGAGCCATTGGCAAACGTGGGGAGGTGGTTGGAGCAAGTCGCGGGGCTCCTTCCAAGTGGGTGGGGAGGGGAGGGGGGGAGGGGTCGGGGTGCCGCCGTGGGTGGAGGGGGCTGGAGGGTTGCCGCCGTGGGTGGGGGGAGCCGGGGGGGGTTGGGAGTCGTCTGCAATGCGAGTGGGCAGGGGTAGAGCGGGGGATCCGTCCTGCGGTGATGTGTCAGGTGTAGTCAACCGTGGTCGCTTCATGCCGAAGTCCAGGAGGGAGGCCTGAGATGGATCGGCTGGGCGTTTGTTGGATGAGGTGGGTGTGGGGGGGAGGGGGGGGGATGAAGCCTGCTGGGCGAGTTGGTTGTGTGCGTCAGCAAGCTGTTGCTGAAGCTGGAGTATGGTGGCCGCGGAGGCCGGATCGGCCGTAGTGGTGGGTCGGAGGGAGATGAGGAAGTCGAAGATCTTGCTGGTGAGTAGCTTCATGGCTGCTGGTTTGGTGGTCGAGGCGCCCTCCTGCGTGGCTACATGGAGGGCGAGGGCGTCCAGGTCGAGGTGCCGTTGTCGGATTTGGCTGAGTAGTCCAGCAGCAAACACTGATTCCGGCATCGACTTTGCGACAACGATGCGGACTTCGCCTCCGTGGGCGAGGTGACGCAACCACCAACTGTTCCACTGTTCGTGCATGAGGTGGAGGAGGGGGACGCGAGCGATGTCTTGTCCCTCGATGCCCATTTGCCGAGTAAACGCGGTGTGCGTTATGACCTTGGGCAGGTCGTACCCCGCGACGCGGGTGGTGTCGTAGTGATCGTCGCCAGGGTTGAACTCGGTTGGTGTTGGGACTGAGTGGATGGGTCGAAGGGCCGGGGGAGGTTTGGAGGGGGAGGGGGAAGGTGGAGGGCGGGTGAAGGGGCCGGGGGGAGGGGGGGAAAGGGGTTGCCGCCGGGAGGGGGGGGGAGAGAGCCGCCAAAGGAGGGTGGACGAGGGCCGGGGTGTGGTGGGTAATGGGGAATAGGTTGGCCGTAGGTCTGACAGGGAGTCGGATGTGTAGCTGGCGGTGCCGATGCCGTGGAAGAGCATCCGTAGGAAGGCCCGGACAGGGCCCCGCACGGGTTCCCGGCCATGTTGTTGCCGTACACGATGCCATGATGATGGGATGCCGTGGGCGAAGGCTGCGGTGGTAAGTTTTGCCTTTGGAGCGCCGTAACCAAACCTCGAGGGGGTTGGAAAGCCATGAGAAAACACGGGGGAAAAGGAAATGTTCGAACCAAAAGCTGGTGAGCGGAATCAAGCGGGTAAGGTCACAAGGCGAGAGAACGGTCGCGGAAAGGCAGAACAGCAAAGCAAAGAAAAAAAAAGAAAAAAGGCGATCAAACAGTGCACCAATTCTTTTCCTGGTCGGGTGGAAGATGGTACACTTGCGCCCCGCTAAGCCGGGCGCTGCAGCGCGATGCCTCTCAGCATCGCAAACTTGGAGTGAAGGCACCACTTTTTGCCTCGGCGGCATGCGAAGTGGCGCCGCACGTTGTGTTGATCCTCGTGGCTTCCCCCGGATTCGAGGATTTTGTGCTGATTGATGGAGCGTAGTTCCCCAAAAGCGATGG